GGGTTAGCCATTATTATCATTTTTGGAGTGGTAGACCTTGGCTTTGGGATATTTTTTGTGAGTTTTTCAAGCAATTCATTCGGGTAAGTATTCTCTACCCGAATCTTATTATATTTCATGAATCCGTTGCTATCTCCATTATTTAATTAGTGAATTAAGTTGGAAATTTAGGAAAAATTTGTAAAATCTTTCAAAATGTAAAATGATGATTTGAAGGACGAATTGAAGTTGAAATTGATAATTTTGGTATGGTTGAACTCGTATCGAGATGGGTGTTCGAATTTTCGTTGGTTGAATTTTTGATTGACTTTTTAGTTTTTGTTAAAAATTGAAGTTTTATTATTCGAAATTTGTTTCATATGACTTTTATTCATGATTTGAAGTTATTTTTGGCAAGATTTGAGCTGTCCAGAGTTGTTTCACTCGAGCAGGTCATTTTAGAGTCTCGGTCTAGCTTCTTTGAGGTACGTGTCTTGTCTAACTTTGTTTGGGAGAAACTACCCCTTCGAAATTAAGTTAATTGTGCTATCTTATTATGTGAAAGCCGTGTATGCTAGGTGACGAGTGAGTATACAGTCTATACGTGGTAATTAACCGGTTTAGAGTGTCTAGTCACTTTCCATGCCTTTAATTGCATTGTTTTAACATGTGATATCTCGTTGTTAGTCTACTCTTACATACTCTATTTGGTATTGTTAGCACTTATTGTACCTCTTACTCGTTATTTAGACCTTATATGCCTTAGTTGAAGTTATTGCCCCCCTTATTGTCTTGTTACCTCTTAGTTATTAAATTTCTTATATGACTGTGTTTATCTGCTATATGTCCTAATTTTTGTGATTGCATACTTAGTTATCGTGTGTTTTACCTGTCCTGTCATTTTTATAAAGTTTGTTGTATTTCTTGATTTTTACGTGGTTCCTTTGTTGACGTGTACTCATACCCCTGATTGTAGAAATTATTGTAAATTGAGTTATTGATTTGTTGCTGCTGATTTAAATTATTGTACGGGAGATCAGGTTGCACGCTAGGTGAAATAAGGGTGAATTGTTATGGTAAAATAAGGGTGAATTATGATATTGATATTGTATGGTATGACCGGGTTGCGCACCGTAACATATTTTATTTATTATTATGATATTGATACGGTGGTATCGGGTTGCACGACGCAATAGGTGAAATAAGAGTGAATTGATATGGTGAAATAAGGATAAATTATGACATTGATTCTGATTAAATGGTGGGATCGGGTTGCGTGACGCAACATATATGTATTTATTACCATTGATATTCACATGGTGGAATAAGGGTGAATAGTATTGTACGGTGGGATCGAGTTGCGCGCCACAACAGTTTATGTGTTTTGTATTTCTTATTGTATTGTATTGGTTTCGATTCTTTAGTACGAGACTCTGAGAATTTGTATTTTTGATTTTTCACTAGTTTTTGAGGATTGAGTTGTTGTCATTGATTTATTACCTTGCTGTCATTTTCTGAATTCTTTTTCTAATACTATTATTTTGGTGAATTAATTTTCAAGATGAATTTACTACGTTGAGTCATCACCTCATATCCTGCTGAGTTGTTAGTAATATAGCGATTTTAAATAAAAGAATTAACAACATGCTTACCTTATGCGATCTTTAAGTTAAAACTCGCCGCTTTATTCGGTACTTTACTNGTTTCATTCGGTACTTTACTATTTCTAATAGTTGTCATATTTTACTTTAATTGATTTCTCAACTTAATCTCCTTACCATGTCTGATGTTTTTACTTTACTTAAAAAGGGATTGTTATTATGTTTTAATTAAATAAATTCTCTATTAAATTCAGTAGCTTATCTGATGATGTATTTTATTTGATAATATTATTTTCTTCACCCAAATAATTTCTAAAATAAACTCATTTTTTTCTCATTGATTTCCTACTTGGTTCAGAAACTGTAATTTTACTTTACGATATATAAATAAAATCTCTTGAACGTCCTAATTAGCATTTGTCGCGGATATTATGTACCGAGTAGCACGCTGATTTTGCTGTGCGAAGTGAGATGGAAAAATGTGGGCACAAGGTGCCATGTATGTTAAAGGTTTAGAAGTTGTGATTTATGATATGAGATTACGAGAAGTGGAATTATTAAAATTGTGTATTAGAAATGATTTGATTGGTTGAGTTGACATCGTTTTTTCTACTATAGCACATTTTTTCTACATCCGTACCCCGACTATGTTGCTGCTTAATTACTTGGTTATTTTTCATTGTCATTCGTGTCCCCCTTATCTTTACTTTGTAATCTGAATTCTTTCTTCTATTGGCATTACATTGATATTCCTTCTTTGTTAGCTCTATGTCATATCCTGCGCACGTTTACATGTTCGGTAGGTGTCTTGACCTCACCTCGTCACTACTCTACAGAGGTTAGGCGTGATACTTAATTACTAGGTACCACTGTGGTGTACTCATGCTACGCTTCTGCACCAGGTACTTCGGATCGGGTTGGTTTTGAGACTTATGCTTGAGTGGCTGGAGACTTCAAGGTACACTTGCTGGACGTAGGCAGGCTCCAAAGTCACCTTCTGTTGTATTTATTTACATTGTTTTCTTTTATTTTGGAACAGGGATATATTCATTATGTATAATTACTCCTAAAAAGGCTTATGACTTGTACTATCGATTTTGGGATATTATATCATATTGAGACTATTGGTTTATTTAGAAATTTCCGGTTCATGTTTAATAGCTGTTTAGTAGAACCTGTTATCATTTCGGTATGTGTTAGGCTTATTTAGTTTTAGAGAATAGGTGTCATCACGACTCCTTCGGAGGGATTTTGGGTCGTGATAAATTCATAGATTCAACTCTTATATTAATGGTATAAAATGATGATGAACGAACTAATAGTTTTTAGTTTTGCTAATGATTGTTACCTTTTCGAAATAATCTTAATCACTTAATTAGACGGTTCCAATACGTACCTAACACAAGATATGTACGAGAAACTCATTGACTTTTTTATCCATATTAATAAGCCCAAGATTGAAATTAAATACTGCCACTTTTTGAGAAGTTTCCTTTTTTGTATTATTGTCTACTCTCTGTGTTTACATTAAGCCACGTAGCGATTATTCAATCATTGTTAGTGGTTGATAAAGTTATCAAAGATTGCTCCAATGTCTGGATCAAAACTCATCTAATCATGCATTATTGAAAGAGACATTTATACTCTAGAATTTGCAAACTTGTTTAGAATACAAACTGCGTACATTACTTTGTATTAATTAATTAGTTCAAGTTTTTCAATGTTCTTTCCAAGAGTAGTAAAGATTTATGCTTTGGTTAAATAAAAATTGTCTTACTGAGGCGGATTTTTTATGGGTTCAATGATTAAATTTTTTTTTATCATGGGTTCAAAGTTGCTATTTATTAGTATAATTTTTATAAAGTTTAATATTTAATTTTTTGCTCTGTATTAAACTAAAAGTACTGTGTTTAAATAAATCTAACGCGATCACACTACATTTGCCTCTATGTATCCTTGCCATTGAAGTAACGGGGGCCGGGGAGTTAGTGGATCTCTACAGCAGGGCACATCCAGTGCATTAGTTACGAGTTATCGTAAACCCAGTAATTTTTTTCTAGATTTTGTAATTGTATTAAAAATTTTATTAAATGTATAAGAATATTATTTAGCTTGGAATTCAGACTGTCAATCCAGTTATTTATTTTATATTAACTTGAGATTTCTGTCCTGAAGGGACAGTCCAGTTGGGTTTGGAGGGTGTTGTCCACACGGGCGACGTGGGTTCGATCCCCCCTCAATGTCCTCTGGGTCTGAGCTTGTCGCACGGGGCTTGTCTAGTGCAGTTTATATTTCCTATGTGATTTGCAATCTATTACACAGTGGGGAGTATACCAGTGTGCATAGAATGCTCACCCGAAAAGCAGAGGCTGTAGCGGTTGCGGGTTTTCCTGGGGTTCCAAACAAAAAAAAACTTGAAATTTTTCTAGGAACTCATAAACTTAAAATCCTGGATCCACTTCTGCTCTACGATAAATACATCTGTACTATAGTATTCTTGATAATATTATGCATATTCTAGCTATTTCCCATGGTCAACTAGTCCTTTGTACAAGACTCCTTTCTCTGTACAAATGTGTAAAAACTACGGAACTAAAACGTCTCAATATTCTAAACACATCCATTTAAAAGACTATTGACTCACAAATTTAGATTTTAAGAATTTCTATAATTGAAATACACCCACTTTGACATTATTTTTTTGAATATTAGATAAGCGCCTTTTCTAAATGTTGTCTTTTTGAGTTTGAAGGGACATTTTAAGGTGTTCTCCAAACATATACTAGGTGAGGATAGAGCTTTATGAGGTAGTGACAGCAAATTCTTGTGGATAAGGAAGGGACCATATCTTGATCTTTTTTTTTTCTTTTAAGAGGCAAAACATGATAGACAATTTGGATAGGAATACACTTGTGTTTGGCTTGAATTTGACCCAACAATACCTAAGAAATATTGTATATTTAGTAAACACATATAGGAAATAGTTTTTATGTCACTGATATTTTAGAACAATCTTTTCTCGTTATATGTATAATTTTTTTTTAATGTACATATAGTTCAACTCAAAAGTAATTGTCGTTTAGTCAGAACCCAGTCTTAATTAAGTCGAGCCATGATGGTGTGGGAGTAAAATAAATTGCTCAGGCATGATAATTCTCGTAATAGTATCAATAAAAATCAACTGGATTTCAGAAATTACAATGCCATTACTACAGTCTTTACTTTTTACCTCAAATATTAAAAAAAAATCTCATATATACAAGAAAAAAAGAAGAAGAAGAAGTATATAGAATCACATTGCAGAAACTGAAATTTTGAAGGTTACAATCCTTTTTTATTTTACAGAGTTAAGGGGAGTAAAGAAGATTCAGTTAGACATAATTAGTACAGAAATCACTGGGATTCAAAATCATAACAATGTGTTACAGAATATTGTGATATTAAAATTGATAATACATAAATCAAAATGTAGCGGAAATCAATCTCTCACTCTATACGGAAAATTAAAGAATAGTACTTGACCATACATCTTGAAATTACAGTGAGACTTGCAAAGAACAAAAAAAGAGAGGCACATCTCTCTCTATTTACAAAAACATACTTAATAATCAAAAAGAAAACCGGAATTGCACTAAAGGTCTGACTTGACGGTCAATAAAATGAGTGAACACCATGGCAGATCACGATCCAAATCTCAGTAAGAAGAAAAAAGGTTGTGGTGTAATTGTACCAATGGAAGGTAACAAGTACAAGAAAAAACAGTCGAAATACAAATTGACTCGAACATCACCGATAAAAAATAAAAAAAAATAAAAGAAGGAATTAATTGGAAGAGAAAAAAGTAGAGAACTCGTCCTCGTGTAATTGGGAAAAGAGAAAATACAACAACAATGGCATGCCCAATGCGATTTCACAAGTGACGTTTGGGGACAATGAAGTGTATGCAGACCTTGGTCCTATGTTCTGTGACGTAAAGAGGTTGTTTCCGTTAGGTCGGCTTAAGAAAAACGTTCAGGAAGAATACAAGACTAAACGTCTAGAACAAAGAGTACATTGAAATTTTCTCTTGATGATGAAGCAAAGGGGAAGGAAACAAAGCCTCCAACGACTCTCAACATCAACAGCCTGAACTTTGCCACCACAAGAAGGGCAAGCTCCAGATGCAGCTTGTCTTCCTAGCTCTTTTTCTTCTGCATCACAACCATATATTATCAAACACATTTTCTCTCTTTATTTCTCACTTTCTCTGTATGTGGTTTGAGGGAGTACTATATATGTATGTTTGTCTCAAATTATTATATCCTGATGTGATTGGCAAGTGCACTTATATAGATGTGGTATCAAGTGTGTAAACGATCTTTTACCAGTGTAAAAAACGTCTTTGGGTATAAGCAGACGCAAAGACGGATTCGGGATTTTAAAATTTATGGGTTTAACTTTTAAAGTTTTAGCATTAAACGTCTTATATTTGTAAAGTTATGGGTTCATATATATTATTTTTGCTATTTTAATAAATTTTTACATATAAATACTTACTCCGCGTCAAAAGTTATGGGTTCAATTGAATTCATTGGTAATGCACTACATCCACCCTGATCAGACACAGATCCAAACATTTTATGGCTTTTGGATTTTAGAAAAATAGTAAATGCATTGATAGATTATTTATAGATATTCAATAGACTTTTTAACACAAATATAGGATTTTAGCCAAAGCAATTGAGTAGCTAGAACTCTAGCTCCATCTCTAAATATAATCTTTATATGTAGTATAAAAACTTGTTATATTACTCCCTCGTTTCAATTTATATAATGCACTTTGTTTATTAGTTCGTTTCGAAAAGAATTTCTATATTTAGAAATAAATTAATTTTAATTTTTTTTATTATACTAATTTTACTCTTAAAGAGAATATTTTATAGGGCATTTGCATCTATACCCGTTTTTTGAGTCACGTTTAACTTGTGCCCTCTTTGCAAAAATAATTGCAAGCGTACCCGCTTTTTCGCATAACTTCAGCATACGGGGCTGAAGTAGCAAAGGTAATCACGCAAACCTTCAGCATTCCAGTAGCCGGGCCTGAAGTTCAGCCCTAGAGCTGAAGTTTTTGTTTTTGTAACTGGCCAACTTCAGCTCTAGAGCTGAAGTTTTTGTTTTGTAACTGGCGAATTTCGGCTCTAGAGCTGAAGTTTTTGTTTTTGTAACTGGCGAACTTCATCTCTAGAGTTGAAGTTTTTGTTTTGTAACTGGCGAAGTTTTTGTTTTGTAACTGGCGAACTTCAGCTCTAGAGCTGAAGCACCACAATTAGCAGTGATTTTTTAAGAAAAATAGTGTATATCTTCTCAGCTCAAACACGAATAAACATACAAAAACTCCAAAATTTTACAGCTCATCCTACTGGTAACTTAAACTTTTTCCTAAGACTAATTTGCTGTAAATTTGGAGCAGAAGTACAACTGCCGAACTGTTCAATTAAAAAAAAATTGACCTTATAACTAAAGCAGCGTTGCTTCTGGAGATAAATACCAGTTTGTTTTGTAACTTGAAGAAGAAAACGAATGAGGAGAAGGAGGAGAAAGGGGGCTGAAGTTATTTAAAACGTGGGTACGAGTTAAAAGTTTTAAAAAAAAGGTGTATAGGTTAAATGAGGGCGACCAAATAGGGCACCCCGTGCAATTTTTACATATTTTATAGACACGCAAATTAAAAGTCCCACAAAGGCTTTTTACCATTTAAATTTTTAAGACCACAAGTTTCAAAAGTCTTCATTTTTTTTTCCGTAAACTTCATCCCGAGTCAAACTACATCACATAAGTTGATACCGGAAGTATTTGGTTACTTTATAAATAGTTAAAGGTAACTGTTCATAATCATTGGTTAATAACTCAGGAAAAAAGAACATTAGCTTTCTATTTCATGTTAAATTACACTACTTAGAGCAAATATTTACTTACACTATTAACTAGATAATAATATAAATCCTTTTTACGATGTCGTTTGGTTTCGGAGATATATGCTCTTGCCGTCGTTTTGTTTCCTATTTCATTCTCATTTTATATGATGCACTTTTGTTTAGTCTATTTTAAAAGAATTACTACCTTTTTTCCGACAATAACTTAATCTTAACCTCCTCAATTTATGTTGAATGACATGGCTTATTGAGATTCACTTGACATAAAAATTCGTTTTTTTTTTTTGGGAATAACTTAACTAAATTTTGAAAAGAACAACTATCTAGCACCTTGTTTCAGACAAAACAACTTCTCTAAACCTTTCAAAACAACTTTTTGAGAAGAATTCCACCTATTTGATGGCTTGATATATGTTCATTTCGTCTTCTTTTTGTCCTTTTAATTGTAGGAATGCGTGCTACAATTTTGCAATTTCCAAATAAATACCCGTGATGCTTCAACTGAATAGTACTTTTTTTGGACGACGTTAATTGGTAGGCCACCTCTCTTGCCAACTACAACTGTCTTTGAGCTGTCAATATTTATCAGACACTTTCTGTTGTGGTGCCTTTTTGTTCAAGTCCCACATTAACTGAGTATATGGATAGACATTTTGAAGTTGATCAGTTTTGAAATTGTTACCGAACTCACAGTTTATTTAGTTATTAAGTTTTAATTAAATATTTATATATATTTAGTGATTTTTTTAATATAAAAATAAGGTTTAAACAAAAATTACCGGGTTCGTCGGGACACGTATCTACGTCTGTAGCTCGGCCTCTGTATATGGATTATAATTTCTGATATTGAACAATCCTCAATTTAAGGTGTTATCTATGGAGTTGAGTTAAAGCTTAATGTCCGATTTTTTTAAAACATAATATAAAGTTAAACTCGTTCTTATTCTTGATTTATTCAGTGTTAGAGCTCCCACATTTTGATTTTCATGATCTAAATGTCTAGCTCTTGACAGGAGGGGAGAGGGGGAGTGTTAGAGTCCCACTTAATTGAATGTATGAGCTATAGTTTCATTATCTGATTTTGAGCAATCTCATTTTTTGAGCCAACTTTGTAATTGAGTTAGGCTCGAAGTTCATTTTCTTTAACCAATTTGATTGTGGCAAGAAATTTTGTACTAGCGCCCAGCTAGTTAGATAGAAGGGTAGCCTTGGTACGCAACAATAAAAGTTGCCGCCTTGTGTCCAAAAGGTCGAGGATTAAAGTCATAAACAGCCTTTAGTAGAAATATAAAATAAGGCCACGTGCAAAAAACTTAATTAGGGTTTGATCCTATCAACACATAGCAGGAGTTTTAACTTTAAAACATCGGACTGTCTTTTCTTTAGCGCCTATTAAAATAGTTTGATTGTGAGAAAATTTTATACTACCTGGTATAAAATTAACCCATAATATTGTTAGCAAAATGTCTATTTAATTTCAGTTTTGGTACACGTGTCAGGTGATCTACTAATCTGAATATGGTATATATATAGTTCCGGAATTGAATATAGTCACAATCATAAACGATTTGCTGAAGATATACCAAAATGTAGAGACGTTATGAAATCCTAACTAGAAACGTTTTGATATAAATATTAAAAATAATAAATCCAGAGTTATCCTACCCGTGGATGCAACGATATTTTAATTTGCTGGGTTAAGATAAAAGATCAGACGAATATTATTTAAGTAAGCTGGATACCGCGAATACATGCACCATTCCAAAACCAATGAATTTGTAGGTGGGAAGCAAGAAAATATTCTAACACCCCCTCTCATTCTTGAGTGATGACTAACTTTGTCTTTCAGAAAAGTCTTCGTCCTCGTTTCAATAGGAAAAAGTCTCTTTGGGCTGTAATCTATTCTGTAATCCTTCTTGATTAGCCGGTGTAAATTAGCTGAATGTAAATAGTTGATAAGCTTGAAGTGTTGAATGTTAAATAAAAAGAGGACGAACGCCCCGTGAAGCTTTGTAATTTTGTTGTTCTAAAAGATTTTAATTCCATAATAGTCATTAGTTTAGATAAGTGAGAAAAAATTAATTATTTTTTTCTTTTAGGAATAATTTGAGTTTAATTTGGAAGAACTTTCCAATGTCTTTATAAAGCTCAAAAGAAAACAACTATAGCTGAAAATAGCTTTTTTTTTTGGTTCAAACTGAAAATAGCTACGAAAACAATATTTGTGGTTTTGTACTACACTAGATGACAACATAAGCTGGGGAAACAAACAAATATAATATAAAAAGTTGATCAAATTGAAGGTCTAAGGGATAAAATTGCGAAGTAAAAACATACGAAACATTAATCTTCCAAACAGCGAGCTTAAATGAACTGCATAGTTTTCCTTTTGTTTTACTTTTTTTTTTTAATTTATATTTTCAAAGTTAATACTTAATAGGGTTGAAGAACCTAAATTGGCTAGTAGTGATCAGAAGGAGGCCACCTTTAAACGGGCGAGTTTATGGGTTGCCCACTCGTTACATTGTAAATAATAACTATTCCATCCCTTCAAATCATGTGACACCGTTCAATTTCGACGGTCACCTTTCAAAGCTTTCTCTTCTCCTCCAAAGAAAGCCACCTTTAAACGAGCAAATCCTCCTTTCAAAGTTTTCTCTTCTTTAGTTTAATTTTTTTTTACTGTGATGATCCGATAGGTCATCTAGAGTTTTAGAACCTAATTCTGTGTTTTGAAGCGTCAAATATCTCATTTTAGCCTTCCTCGATTTGCATGCGCGGTCTGGTTCCGGAAGTCTTATATGTTAAAAAATTTATAAAATATGAAATTTTGCCTTAAAAAATTCATTTGGGTTGACTTCGGTCAACGTTTTGAGCAAACGGACCTGGATCCGTATTTTAACAGTTCGTGTGGGTTCGTATCATGATTTGGGACTTGGACATATGTCCGGAATCGAATTCGGAGGTCCCTAGCCCGAGTTTTCGTATTTTGTTGAAAAAAATTGAAGTTTAAAGGCTTAATGAATCTAAAATTTTGACCAATGTTTGACTTTTTTGATACCGGGTTCGTATTTTGGTTCCGAAATCCGGCATAGGTCCATTACTATATTTATAACTTGTCTATCAAATTTGGTGAGAAATGGAGTTGGTTTGACATGATTCGGACGTCCGGTTGTTAAAATAGCAATGTTAAAGTTTTCTTGAAACTCTCATTTGATTTGGTGTCCGATTCGTAGTTCTAGGTGTTATTTTGGCGATTTGATCGCGCAAGCAAGTTCTTATGACGTTTTGGACTTGTGTACATGTTTTGGTTTTGAGCCCCGAGGGCTAGGGTGAGTTTTGGATAGGCTAGGGAATGGTTTAGACT